AATCAAACTCATTGGCCTTATCTCGCAACAGTGAAGAAATCCTTAAAAATTCCTTGATCTAGATCAGGACTCAGAGCACCAGCAAAATCTTGTCATCTTAAAGTTAGTCCACTTTTGAGCGTTCCTTAATTTTACCCAAAATCCATTCTTCACCTTTTCTGTTAGGTAAATGACGAGCCAATAATCATAGAAACGCAGGTGAACACGGAAGTTATAATTTAAGAAAAAGACTAAATGCATAGTTTGTCAGACGTAAACATGAAATCCACAGTCAATTTACAGAGAGCATTCTAAAGAACTTGCTATCTAAAAAGTAGGTAATTATAGTTCTTTCTTAAAAAGAAAGCAACATTTTGTTTCAAACTATTTCAGATATGACTATAATGACACGCCCGAGATGCTACCAGTGTTGGAGGACTATATGAGACTAGGTCAAGGGGCATTGTCCCTCACCAACTTGGGCCGCTTTCTTATACCGGTAAACATTGATGGTATCTCCTTTATTTGCATGGTTTGTCTTTTAAACCTATATATTTTTCTTAATTTGCATTTCAGTTACTGCGTTTTGTCAGATAAAAATGGCCATATAATAAATATAAGTTATACGGTACCTTTCGTAATTAACAATGAGGCGTTGTGGACACCTGCACATGTACACCCACTTACCAGTACAGTATCTACAGTCTACATGGACAATACGTGTAAAACATTTGTGTAACAAAATAGGCCTACTTGTATGTTCCATAAGCAAGTATGTGATTTGATGTCCGCAAAAAAAAATTATATATATATATATATATATATATATATATATATATATATATATATATATATATATATATATAAACTCTTATTTTAGGAGGAGAAATTCGTCCTCATGGATAAATTTTACAGTTTGGTAAGACAGGAAGTAGAACGACATCGCCAGTCCTTTGATCCAACTGACATCCGGGACTTCATTGACCTCTATATAAAGGTCACTCGAGAGGGACAAGATCCAGAGATTTACACAGGTATGTAACTGTCTTAACATTTAAAAAAGGTCAGTTAACAAACAGCTCTTACTTTGACTTTGTCTTCAAAACGCTTAATGTGCAACGTTTTGCCTGAAGAATATCGATACTTTCCGTAATGATGGTAATTGATAGCCAAGAGTGAATAAGGAACGAGGAGCGTTTTGTAGAGGAACTGAGCTGATTGGTACTTATAAAACTGCATGTAAACGGAAAGAGGCCGCTAGAGATATTGAAGAGGTACAAATACAAGTGGAAACAAGGTGGCGCAGAAGTCAAGTGGAAGGTAGTTCATAAATAAATTGAAAGAATATAACCTCGCGTAACAACAAAATATAAAAAGTAAACAACTTCATCGCAACTATCATCTAATTTTAGTAATACATTTTTGACAGTTGGCAGCTATTTCAAATTTTCATATTGCATTAAATGTTTCCAAACAGTTTAAAAGAGATCCCTTTTGACGTTTCAGTGCATGATTTGACCAAAATATTAGACATGCAAGGGTTTTTCATATGCAAGGGTAAATATGTTTCTTTGGATATTAAAACTTGCCTAAGGTTTCCAAAGCGGCAACGCCAAAGTGACAACCAAACTGAATTTGCTGAGGGGTGCCATTGGAAACAAACTCAAGAAAACTTCACAGGAACTAAAATTCGTGTATTGTAGGCACCGGGGTGCCTTCTCGACTATGAAAGAAATATACACAATGTTTTCAATCACTTTGAGTTCTTCATTGGCGTACATTTCAGAATGGAACGTGTTCCGAATCATTGTTGATCTATATATGGCTGGAACCGACACAACAGCTAATACTTTCAGATGGTCCCTGGTTCATATGGTAAATCACCCAGATGTACAGAAGGGGGTACAGCAGGAAATTGATCAGGTAACGACCCACAGTAAAAATGAATAGGAGGGACAATCTGAGATAATCTTGTGTTCTTATTTCTTTATTCTGTATGCAATACATTTGCTGGTTGTGCATTTGTCTGTATACAATCTGTGCTTAATTTAAGGTCATAGGTCAAGGTCGTGTTGCCAAGATGGAGGACAAGGCCAGGATGCCGTTCACTGAAGCAACCATACTGGAGGTCTTTCGCATGTCTACTGTTGGTCAGTAATTTTTTAACTTTTCAAAATTTTAATTTGATTTATAACTATGAAAACCACTTCAAAATTGAAACGAGAAAAAACAATAATAGAGAAATGGCAGTATTTGTTTAAAACCAAAAGTCTTAAAAAGTGTGCCATGTATGGTTAAAATTGAGATTTCAAGAAAATTTAGAGATGAAGAGAGCTTGTAATAATTTGTAGGAGGAAAATGTCCCCGTATGAAAACACTTTGGGGGGGGGGGGGAGGAGGGGGCTCACAACGGAGTAAGTTTTATATATAAGCAAAACCTGCAATTATTCGACCTGCTGTGCGTACCGCTATAACTGAACATGTAACATTATTGGTTTTAGAGTGATTCCAACACAATCTATTCTCTCTGTCTCTCTCTCTCTCAACTAAAATGAATTTATTTTAAAATTGCGTTTAATTTATTTGAAAAACTTATTCATTCCATATCATTAGTTCCCTTTGGTATTGCCCATGCAACGAGCGAGACAACAATTCTGGACGGATACACCATTCCCAAGGACACCGTCGTACTGGGGCATTTCTACCGGGTTTTTCACGATAAGAATAACTTCGAGGAACCTTACAAGTTCAAACCAGAAAGATGGCTTGATGGCGATGGTAAAGTGATCAAGTCGGACAAAATGGTACCATTTTCCATAGGTAAATTGCTTTATATTAGATCTAATATGCCCATAAGTTAAAGTATGTTGATAGAGTCATTTTTATAACCTCTAGATCAGAATTGTTGTTTCACTCTCCATTTGCATCTGCTTTTGCTTATCACCCCACAGCTGTTTTAAGCAGTGCGTTTTATTCCAAATACAATACATGACATGAATTATGGTACAGAAAATACAAATTAAATATCGGTGCAAATATCCATGTTAAAACCATTTATGCAAATGTAAAACATGTTCCCCCTCAAATATGATGTTCTACAGTAACTTCCTCAAAGGTAAACAAATGACCATAAATCAACAAGACGTGTTTTGTTTCCCGCATTTTGCAATAACCCCCTGTATGTGGCTCGGCATGCCTACTACAAAGGTCTCAATTCTGCTTTGTGGTGAGCTCGATTGAGGTGTCCTTAACCATATACTTCTAAATGCTATGCTTAGAAAACGACGTAAATTGTATGGACACTCCTAATCCAGTAATTTCATAAATCCAATTTAGCAATATGTTCTTTGTTTTGCGATGTTTTAATATTGACCTGTAACGATGCTTCTGCTTTTTTGCAATGCTGTTAGTGGCAAGAGATATGGGCTTGTTTATTTGTGTCCATTTTGCAATTTCATAATACCGACATGAAATATGCGTTTGCGCTACACTGCTGTATTTTTTGTATCATATATTATGTATGTATCTAGATATCTACATATCTAGTAAAACTTACTGGAACACAATTTGCCACATCCCAGACGCAACATGACATTCAAAATTATTAATTTCGTTCCATATTTTCATCTGCCCATCGTCAATTTGTATTTCAGGGCCCCGTGTTTGCCTGGGCAAGGGACTGGCTGAAATGGAATCGTTCATTTTCTTCACCACGTTGCTTCAGAATTTCACCTTCAAGGTACCAGAGGGAGAGAACCCGCCCAGTGAAGTCGAGGGTCTGAACACGTCCACGTTTGCGCCATATGACTACAGAGTGCGCGCTGTTAGACGCTAAAATAAAGTAACATGGACCCAGACAATAAACTGCTAGAGGTGTCGTGTGTGTGTGTGTGTCTGAGTGTGTGTGTGTGTGAGTGTGTGTGTGTTTGTGTGTGTGTGTGTGTTTGTGAGTGTGTGTGTGTGTTTGTGGATATTTACCTGGTTGCTTTCTGAAAAAGTGTGTCGTATTACAGTCTATTGGACAACATTTCGAATTGACCATGTTGCACTTCTCACTAACTGCATTACTTTCTTTGATAACATTCCCGGCGTAATAGGAATAGAAGTCCTAGGAATGGAAGTCCGCGGTCCCATATGATAAGTACAGGTTAGGGTTAGTTGGAGTATTGGGGTTAGTATATGGGACGAATGTCACCTTTGCAAAGTAATAGGGAACGGACTACGGTTCCTAGCTGACTTTCATTCCTGTTACACCGGCAACTACAGTTTCATACCCCACGTTGATTCTAGAAAACTAACTAAACAATATCATGGGTTATGGCTACAATATTCACGTTTATTTTCTCATTTTTGCGAATATAAGTTGCAAAGTCTTTGTAAGCTTTGTTCGTATGCTACACTTGCAAAGTACACGATGGCTATGATTGACATTGAAATATACAAAATGAAAAGATAATACTGTCAGTATCCCTGTCGACATTCATGACCTCTCAAGTGAACGTGTTTTAACAATTAAGCACCATTTCACTCTTGCAATATACTTTAAAACAGCTCAATGAGTCGATATATTAGACCCGTCTGAAATACTCTTGTATGTTATTATAAGTAATAAAACAACTAACTTCTACTGAAATAAAGGTTTCTTATGATATAATATTGGAAATATCTTTACCCATGCCACTGGACGAAATATAATTGGGAACTTTTTCTTCGTGAGCCTTGTCTCGTGATGTGCCAAAAGTAAATCATCTCCAAATGTTAGTCTACCTGTTTACTTGAAGGGGTGGAGGGGGGGATAATCTGATAGGGGCTATTTTATATTATGTAAATGAATTGGTTATTTGGTTAAAACAATAATTAGGGGTAGTTTTGCCTCCAACAGGCACCCAGACTTGTCCAACATTAGAGAAAAATAAAATAGCTCTCTCTCCATCCACCCCGAGTATGATTTTCTGGTATGCTCCACTGCCATTGCCTTGAGTAATAGTTTGACTTCGGAGACAGCCGAGTTATCGGGACCAAGTCCAAGTATAAAATAAAAAAAGTTTTATCACAAAATTGCACCCCGTCTCCCAGTGTCTCTGTATAAAGGTCTATCATCGTTCCCTGTCGAAGCAAGCCACTTGATTTCTCCACATCACTACGATGACAACGCCGGTGATGAGGATGATGCCGCCGACCACAGACGCCGCTATCACCCCGGCCAGCACTGACGGCTGGAGGTAGTACGGACTGGGAAAAATTAAACACACTGTAGTTATCTTACCTGTCTTCATGGTGAAGTCAGATATGGATACAGTGCATTAAATATATACAATTGTTTTACTGGATACTGTAGGCGAATTTCTAATCTTTTTTCTCAACCGTTGCTTCACGTTTAGTCTAATACACGAATTTTTCAACCTAACATCCTTGCTTTGTACGCGTAAGAACATTTGCAGTCAAAATTTTTTCCCAAGGAAATTGTAACTCAAGTAATAATAATAATAATAATAATAATAATAACCTCACCCCTTTGTAGGATATGACATGGGTAATCTGTTGTTGAGGCATTGTTGCTGCCAGTTCATGCCGTAGTTAGGCGAGGTACAGCAGTACCTGAGGAAACACGTGCCACAGCAGTGCTGGTCCTCAGCGCACCTGTCCCCCACCAGGTCCACCTTGTTGACGTCAGTGTAATCGTAACAGTCCCGGCTGGGGTCAAATACTTGGCCGGTGGCTGTTGGAACAAAGGAAAGAATGACTGGACGAATGAAAATATGTGTGTGAGAGAGGGAGAACTGCAGTGTGTGTGTGTGTGTGTGTGTGTGTGTGTGTGTGTGTGTGAGAGAGAGAGAGAGAGAGAGAGAGAGAGAGAGAGAGAGAGAGAGAAATTGGTTTGTTCATAAATTAACAGATGAAAAGTTGGTTGAATGAATGAACTAATGAATTAATTTCTTTGTGCAATCACGGAGTCTGTTATTACTCCTTGGTGCAATGTGCATTGGTGTAAACGACAGGGGTTTAGCCACGCCCCTTTTTTTGAAGCACGCCAGTCATACGCTCAGGTAGGAAGCTGAGCAATATACACTGACAGCACGTCAACTGGCAAAAAATATCAAATTCAGTTTGGTACTTTTATACTTTTTAACCTAAAATCATTTACCACTTCTGACATTATGGTAGGCTATAGGGGTATTCTTAAGCAGTTTAAGCTAAAGCATTTCTTTTGTGTTTTTAGTTTCATTTACGGGTCAAGGTGACAGCCAAGCGTGACTATAACGCAGGCCTATCGTTACCTGTCACGCGTTTATTGTTCTAGGTCACACAAATTCTTTTAGTAATGTCAACTAAGGTAGACAGATGAATAAGTTGTAAGCAGGTGCACCTACGCTACACCATGATGGTGCATGACTGGCCGTTATCGCGATGGTCATATTTTAACTTTAGCTTAACCGTCTACAAGCAGAGTTGTATTTGCATTTCATTCATTTTCTAATACCGATTAACCATTATATACTGTTGCACAACGTCTCGGCTCTGTACATTTTCACCGGACTCAACAGGTGCAAACATAACGAAATACGATCATCACAAAATACCGACGGAGACTCATACATTAACTTCCGGGCTGGGCAACATCAACCCAGTATTGGCCTTATCTGTGTGTGCTTAATTAAGCTGCTATTACATATACCTGAGCTAAGCGTCCCGAGAAGCACGACAAGAGTACACCAGTCCAGCAAAGACGCCGGGTTCACGTCCCTGGGGAGCACCATGGTCTGGTAGGTCAACGTGAAGCGTTCCTTGGGGACAGCGACATTAATTCAGCAAGTGAAACTGACCATAAGAGCCTCGTTTTGAGCCTCATGTGTGTACTTCAGGTGGACCAGATCCCGCGCAAACATGACCTAGTTTACCTGCCACTGTTAATCTGATCCTTTGACAGACTCATTGTTGACAATAGGCCTATTCACGTCATGGCCGTGGGCTGTCATTTCACAGTGCCACACAGTGACCCCTCGTAAAACATTACTTTTTCTAAAAATATTAGCACTTAACTATGATTATGATAGACGCGTTTAAATCTAGGAATTAATTTGTTTAAATCTTGAATTGCGGCAGACAAACTAAAAAGATTTGAGAGAGAGAGAGAGAGAGGAAAGAATGAAAAAATGACTAAACTCTCTACATAATCTTGAAACTGACTCAAAACAGCTGAAGTTAAAATTTGTTTACTTTACTTTCAGTATTTATTTTTTACTCCCCTATAATACAAACATAATAATAATGTCATATAAGACAACTGACATGGGGTTGAAATAAGTGAATGTTCATCTAATGCAGATTTATTTAGATTTAACAAGCAATGTGAATAAAATGTCAATTTTTAAGTGTATTACTGTATTAAATATAATTACCACTGGCATTTGACAATCTTTAAACCCCCTCCCTCCCCAACCCACAATGAAAATCCCATGGCATTGTCATGACAATCTTCAAAAAATTTCTCTTATCAAAGCCTAAAATACTCCTATGCATTTTCCATTTTCTTCAAGTTCTGGTCGACAAACCTGCATGTATCAGTTTTATTTTGGCAATTTCCCTAAAATTTTGCAAAAAGGCCATTACAGAGCAGAAATCTTTGGACTTTGCCAGTTCCAACTATCTGTGCTCTGATCCCAAGGTTCCTAAATTCTCAAGACTACCTGAGGAAACTAAAGGAGCAAAGTCGAGACTTCCAGTCAAATAAACTTTAGTTGTTTACCATGGAAACAGGCAACAAATGAACTCTAATTAACTTTGGTACAGAATATCATTCAGCTAGAATTATCTTAATAATCACTATAATATGTATAAAATTGGAGTCAATTCTCAAGAGAACTTTTTTCATATATAATATCCACCCCAAATTTGATCCTTGGGATTTTGAATCATCTTAAACGTAACCATCAAGTTGTTCAACCAACACAATAATGACCCCCCCCCCCCTCCTCTATCGTTCCATCCACGCTCAGCCTGGTCTTAGCATCGCTGCCTTCATCTCTTCAAAAGTTTCTTCTCAGAATTATTATTTCAAGGTGGTTATTAAGTCTCCTGGGGTTTTTATATTCCAATCATCTGTGTAACTGTATGTAGAGGGGGTTTGGAAATCTTTAGAAATGTTTATTTTTAATAAGATCTGTTATCTTCTATCACTGCCGGAGAACTCTGCCCCTGAAAAAATAATGAACAGTTTTGCATTAATTTAATATGTAACTGAACAAACCAATGTCACATAATAATATACACTTGGAAATGGGTGGATTACATGTCAGGTGGTATGATCACACCCCTCATTGTAAAGCTAAATTATCCACAGAAAATACTTCAGACTAGTATGAAAATAACTTTTTCATGCCATTTTTGATGCTTTTCCCTTACAGACTGACATCAGTTTCTGTTCAGACTTTGCATTCATTAAAAAAATTCTTTATCTTGACACATTTTTAGTCTTAATCATCTCAGTGTCCTAATTTCAAACTCCTTACGTTATCGTCCTCCTTTCTTTTGTTTTTGGCTCGGGTCTGGCTCTGTTGAGAACTTTGAGGAAATCTGACGTCTTTGCACGCATCCGAGAGTGAATATATGCCTGGAAATGAGAGGTGTACATTATTTTACCTTTTATATGAGAACAGTATGAAGATTAAAAGCCTTCCCCTTACATATCATAACCTTCAGATTAATTATATATATTAATTTTTTATTTCAAAACAATATACATCAAATCCACCAACTTTTTAGCTCACAGAAAGGAGAAAATTCTACAAAATCAGCAATGAATTTCATAACAAAAATTTCAAATCACATTTTTTACAGCACTTACGTAACCTACAACACAACACATGAAACAACAGATCTGACAACTACACATGTGATTTTTCATAATCTGATCCACTCGATTCGAGATAAATGTATGGATCAGGTCTTACCTTGGAGCACTTAATGTGATAGTGTAGGTAGTCCCTAAGTATATGTCTTACCTTGGAGCACTTAATGTGATAGTGTAGGTAGTCCCTAAGTCTATGTCTTACCTTGGACCACTTAATGTGATAGTGTAGGTAGTCCCTAAGTCTATGTCTTACCTTGGAGCACTTAATGTGATAGTGTAGGTAGTCCCTAAGTCTATGTCTTACCTTGGACCACTTAATGTGATAGTGTAGGTAGTCCCTAAGTGTACGTCTTACCTTGGATCACTTAATGTGATAGTGTAGGTAGTCCCTAAGTGTACGTCTTACCTTGGAGCACTTAATGTGATAGTGTAGGTAGTCCCTAAGTATACGTCTTACCTTGGAACACTTAATATGATAGTGTAGATAGTCCCTAAGTGTATGGATCAGGTTGATGGTGTTGTCACGGGCTGCAGGACTTGTGTGGCGCGGAAACAGGACTGGAAACAAAACATGATCAGATTGAAAAAGTCTATAAAGTTGGGTCGAGTTGTGACCTTCAGGATGCTAATACTCAAATATGAAGGAATAGGTCCTTGTGGTTTTTGAGAAACAGCATAAATAATGTTTTCTATTGGGTAGGCATTCTTTGAAAAAGAAGACAGTGACAACAACTAGTAGCAGGCTGAGTTATTCTACCAGCAGGTTCACTTCCACCTGGACATCAGGTGTGATCAAGACAGCAGAGAAATGGCTCTAAACAGTTATCAAGTAAAGATATTCGATGGATCACCTACACAACGTAGAACATTCTTAAAGAATTAGTGCATAAGTTTAAGGACCTAAGAATAACTTGTTGGAAATTGACTAACTACAAAGAGCAGTCTGGTTACTCTGAGAATGAAGAGAGCTCACCAAATGTGATGTATCCGATGTTGTCGCCAGTCTTGGCGTCTGTCCCCTGGAGTTCCAGCGGTGGCTCACGGTGACTGAACAGCACCTGGGGGGCCTGTTGGTAGCGACGGCGACCTTCCTTGAATTCCTGGGAAGATAAACAAATGGCAGAATGTTTGGGATGTTCTAAGAAGTGAGGCATAAATGAATAAACTTTAAAAATGAATTAAGTGTCATTTCAAGTTTTGGCTGAAGCTTAGTGTTGATAATGTGGATGCATCTTATAGTTAATATTTGTGATTATGGAAAAAAAAAAAAAAGAGAACAAACCTTTTTGTTTAGTTGATATAATGCAAATTACATAGATTGCTACAGTAATCAGATGTGCTTTCTACCAGAACAATTCAGCATAGAAAATCCCCCCCATGAAATACATAATGAACTTAGAAAAACAGATAATATCATACACTAATAATGGAGTAATAATAACTTACATGTCAAGTTGTAATTTGAATCTTTTTTAAATATAACTATGATAACAACATAGAAACTGAGTTACTGTTTCAAAGCAAGACTACATTTTCACTGATCTGCAGGTGAAATGATGGAAGACAAACTCCTGACTTACCTGCATAAACACCTTTCCAATGATGATGTCGTCATCGTCTTTGAACACCGTGCTAAAGATCACTGTCACACGGTCCTTCTTTGCATCCACATACCTGGTGAAATAATAGGACAAACTTTTAACATCAACTGCCCTAAATTACTCACTGTCTTGGAGTAAATAAATAATTTGGTAAAAATATCTAACTAGCTCTTGTTTACTTTATATACATTTTTCAGTCAACGTGGTGAATATCAAGAACAACTTCATGATTTTTCTGAAATATATTAACTCTATATATTAATATTTAAAAAATGCTAACAAGTGGTGAGTTATTTGTTTTAATAAGATCTAATGCAATTTTAAACAGCTTTCATTTTTTAATCTCTGTAACTTACATGGTTTCCTCATCTCTGTAATTGATCACAGCTCGCTTTCGTCCTCCCTCCCCTTTTTCTTGAATTTCAAAGTATTTTTCAAATACAGATGCAAAGCAGTTACGTTTCAGAAGCCCCGCCTTCTTGACAACTTCTGGCCAATCAGAGGGAACATTTTCTAAATCGTAGACTAATGATACATTGTAGCCTGAAAATATAAATATGACTTTATTAAAATTACATTTCAGCATTTTTCTTTGAAGACTGAAAGGGAAATATATCCTCAGAATTTACAAGCAGGTACCCGTAAGAGTGTAAGAGTGTGTCTTGGTGCGAAGTGGAACACAGAAAAGCCATTGATTGTAGAGAGAATCGAAAACAAGAAGAGGTGTGGTAATCTGACTACATTCAGCAGGAGTCCCTGTGAAAATGAACTGATCTACAGAGATCAAAAGTTTCAATGTGGATGAGCCATAGAGCTACGGTAAGCGTATAGTTTTACCTTCTTCTGGCGTGGTGAGGAATGCACTGTACTCTCGCTTGATCAAATCATCTGCTCCGTGCTCCTGGAGATCTTTGTAGAACTTGAGAGAGATGCTGACCTGGAAGAGAAATGCACCACTTTTTCTACATTTTATTTTTAGAAGATTTTCTCAGCAATCAAATCATTACCTTCTGAGAACAATTCTTTGACTACCAAAATGACGGCAATATTTCTAAATCACTCTTTTAAAAATTGCAGTTTAGATATTCTAAATATTCACTTAAATAAAGAAGACATTATAATAATTATCCAATGAAAGGCACACTTCTCAATACTTACTCTAACTTTAAATTTGTCTCCATCTGGGTTGGATATATGGTATATGACACCGTCAAAATCTAAAATATAAACATGGTATACAAACCATTAATATTTTAATCAGAAACAAACATAAAATTGAAATAAGACAATCAAGGCTGCATTTATTTAATTATCAACCTTTAAAAAACAAACAGGATGCAAAAAATGATCACAGACTTGCACACCTGAGTCCTCCAAAGTCAATATCTCTTGCTGGTACTAGTACTTTTCAAAGTCTCTCTCTCTCTCTCTCTCTCTCTCTCTCTCTCTCTCTCTCTATATATATATATATATCTGGTTAATTTTTTTTTTTTTTTGGTATTTTGAATGTCACTATCTCTGTGGTCACTTAATCAGCTTACTAGTAACTACAAATGCTTGAATGCAATTATAAAACTACAAATTAAAAAAAAAATCCCTCACCTGCTACAGTGATATCAACACTTTCTGGTTTTCCCCTGTAAAAGATGAAAATTGTCTTAATAACAGTGATTCTCATACCACTTGATATTTCCCTATCTAACAGAACTCTATAGTTTGTTCTGACCTGCTAATAACCAATGACAGCATTTTGCACAAGTTTAATTTTCCATTAACACATCAATCTTTGATTTAGTGGTAAAAAGCATCAGGTTAACAAAATTCAATAGAAAATACAGTCACTGTTTCTGGATCATAAATTTCTACCACTTAAATGCAAAAGCCTAAAATCTATTTAAGAGGAAAATTAACTGAATTCAAGAGCAAGTACAAATAAATTAACTTCTGAAATCTGATTCTGACATATACTTCCTCATCTAAAAGACACTTTTTTAAAAACAGGATTCAAACTAGAGGATCAGAGAGGCGATACCGCCTCCGAATATTGTACCACCAGCTGGAGCAAGCGCATTCGTATAGACCCCAACATACACAAAATAAGGGACACAGCCACCAGTTTTGTGCTTGACAAGCTGTAAAAATGCAATCAACAAGAATTTTTAAACTATTGCAAAAAATATATATGGTACAATCAAATTTAAGTTCTTCGTAAGGTAGGTCAAGGGTCAATTTCAAGGTCACAGTAAATTGCCAGTATATGACTTC